TTTTGTGCTGGCAAATGTTAACAAGTGGCTTTCCAAACAGAAACCCAACCAAACGAACCCTGATTTGCCCTGGATTTTCAATGGTGTAAATGTGCATGCCACTGGCCGATTTCAAGCTACTGCCATGGAAGTCACTCACTGAGGAGCTGGAAAGAGATATGTCCAATTGGATCTTCTGAGCTAGTGTGATCTAGCTGCAGCACACCACTGGTTCTGGTGCATATTCTACCATGGCTTAGGAAGCACAGTCTGGGAACCTGACAAGAAGATAACAACGTCTAGTGATACAGGGCTTCAGTGAAGCCAAGGGGGCGAATTTTTTTTTTTTTGTTTTTTGAGTTGGAGTCTCACTGTCACCCAGACTGGAGTGCAGTGGCACACTCCTGGCCACTGCAGCCTCGACCTGCTGGGCTCCGGTGATCCTTCCGCCTCAGCCTTCCAAGTAGCTGGAACTACAGGCGTGTGCTACCACTCCCAGCTAGTTTTTTGATTTATTGTAGAGATGAGGGATCGCCAAGTTGCCCAGGTGGGTCTCGAACCCGCGGGCTCAGGCAATCCACTCACCTCAGCCTCCCAAGGTGCGGGATTATAGGCTGAGCCACCGAGCCCAGCTGGGGACGAATATTATTGGCTAGAAGAACATGTAGAAATAAAAAGAAAACCAGTAGGAAATATAAAGAAACAGAAGTCAAAAGAAAAAAAAGGGCTGTGAAAGAGGCAGTAGAATCAGAAAAGAACAAGATTCAAGAAATACAAGAAAAGAACTAGTTTTAGGAAGGAAGGTGTGGTCAATAGTGTCAAATACCAGAGATCAAATAGCCTAGGGATGTAAAAGAGGTCATCAGCACTACCAATTAAGAGGTGTTTCTGAGCCTGAAATATTTTTCTCCATTAAAAATATTTTATAAGGGAAAAAATAAATCACATATCTGTCTCCCCCTACTCTCTTTTTTTCTCCTCTCTTTTTAAGGAAGTCATTAATGAATTTGGACAGACTTAGCTGTGGGAGTGAAAATTTGACTGCAATGGGCTGAGGCGTTAATGACAGGAAGGGAGTAAAGATGAAATCTTTCCAGTAGTTTGGCTTTTCAGGGACGGATAGCTTGAAGGAAGGAAGGTTGGAAGGGTGGTTTTTAAAAAGAACTATAACTCACTAATCAACTAGACATTCAAGGAAATACAAGGTTTCTGTTTGTAATCTAAATTAACCTCTTAATCCCAATGACAAACAGAAAAAACACCTCACTCAATTCCGGAAGCAATAATGGTTTTGAATCCTGCTTGCATGCCAACAGGAGTCACATTAACACAGGAGAGGATCACATTGGTCTAATTAAATGGAATTGATTGAGAGCCTACCCAATACACTGTCTATTCCACAAATAATGGTGGCTCTTTGCATTTCTTTATTTGACCATAGTTTGCTTGATGATTTGTTTCTGTGTCTAACCATGTATTGGAGTTCAGCTGACTCAAATTTGAAGTGGAGGTCCTTTTATCCCTCCTATTTGAAAGACGGTTTACCTATTTTTAAAAAATTTGAGGTATCTCTCATTCTCCAGAAATTCTCCAAGATTCCAGCGATTAGATATTCTTAACAATAACAAACACATCTTAAAAAATCATTTTAGGACTGGGCATGGTGACTCACACCTGGAATCCCAACACTTTGGGAGGCCGAGGTGGGCAGATTGCTTGAGTCCAGGAGTTTGAGACCGGTCTGGGCATCTGGGCAACATACAGAGGCCTCATCTTGATAAAAAGTAAAACTAACTGGGTATGGTGGTCTGGGCCTGATGTGGAGATGGAAGGATCACCTAAACACAGGGGTGAGGCTGTCGTGAGTTGTGACTGTTGTGATCATGCCACTGTACTCTAGCCTGGGCGACACAGTAGGACCTCAACTAAAAAAAAAAAAAATCATTTTAGAATACTCTTTTATTCTTCATTGACTCCCTGCAATACTGTATTTTTTTCAGACTTTCTAGGAACCAAAGAGCATGGGTACTAAACAAAAAACTCAAGGGTGATGATGTGGTGAAAATCATTTACATTTTAAACAACGTGTACATATTCTTTTTATGCAGACAAGTTAACATACCAAAGCAACCACTAAACAATGCCTTTGAGGTAATCATTAATTTAAAAGCCGCAATGGAATGATAAAATTGAGATTCTCTCAGTTCTCCATGATCTGCCGCGGGGTCTTCAAGGCCACAGTTGCCTGAAGGTTGATTCTGCAATTAGAAGATGGATCATCTCAGAATAGAACCTCAAGCCACCCAGGCCACAGTTACAGAATCAGCTTCTCCAGAACAACAGCAACAAAGACGGTCCTTCCTACATATTCTGGAGGGGTCACCTAGGAGATGGACTTGGGATCTTGGTGTTGGTGTCAGCAGTAATCCAAAGACTGGGGAAAATCTCACTGAAGCATACTCAGTAACAGCTCAACCTATGGCACTCAAGGGCTGAAGAGGAGAGAATTGCACTTGTAAGCTTCTTTCTCAGGGGACACATCTCCTAGGCTCTAACTTTGGAGATTCAGTATCTTTGTCATATTAAGCTGTCACACTTGTTAAGTGTGGGGTTAGTGTCAACAGAGTAATGTCCCTGTGTAACCTAGCTGAATCACTTAGCCTCTTTGGGGGGTGTGGGCTCTCCTACCAGTAGTGATCAAAAAGACAAACATATTTCAGACATTACAGTATGTTCATGTATTCATTGTGGGGGATGAGCAGATTCTTGAAATTACAGTCAAGCACGATCAAATTTGGTTTGGGGGCCATGGACTTATCAATGAGAATGAAAGAATCAATGGTTGTTCTCTCTCAGGAACTTTCATTTTGGGCCCAAATCCTTTCTCTAGTATCTTAATCTAGTTTACACAGGGCTTGGCTGTTTCCCATTGTCCATTAGCGTGACCTAAGGGATTACGTTAATAGGAGTGCTCTTTGGAATCACATCTTTCAAAATTCCAAGAAGAATGATTTTGGTGGTGGGATTTCAAATACTCTAATAGGTGAGGGAAGAGGAATGGGGAAGATGGAGGGTTAGGGAGACCTAATCACTCCCTATTTTCATACTATGACTGGCAACACCTCCTCCAGGAGTTTTGTTTTATATACAGGGGGTCAGAGAGATTAGTTTTTAACTCTGCTGATCCTGGAGTTTTCTTTTCTTTTTTTTTTTTTTTGAGTTGGAGTCTCACTCTGTCGCCCAGACTGGAGTGCAGTGGCCGCTCCCGGCCACCGCAGCCTCGACCTGCTGGGCTCCGGCGATCCTTCCTCCTCAGCCTTCCAATAGCTGGAACTATAGGCGCGCTACCACACCCGGCTAATTTTTGCTTTATTGTAGAGATGAGGTCTCACCAAGTTGCCCAGGCGGGTCTCGAACCCGCGGGCTCAGGCAATCCACTCACCTCAGCCTCCCAAAGGCGTGGGATTACAGGCTGAGCCACCGAGCCCGGCTTCTCTCCATTTTAAAGATGAAGAAACAGAGGCAGAAAGACTACCTCTCATCATGTGGTTGGGTTAAGTTTGACTCCAGAAACCAGTCTCCTAACCAGGGTTCCCTCTGACTGGGGCAAAAGGGATCCCTTGCCTGGGCCCTGGGCTTCAGAAGGTTTGGCTTTGGCTCTTCTCAGACTCCATCCCTTCCTAAGGGGTAGCAGCCCATAGGCAAAGGGGCCATACCATCCACAATTATGAGTACCTAGGACTCCAGAATTCCTTTCCCTAAGGCCCCTGAGTGCACTCTCTGGACCTGCTTGGGCCTCTGTTCAGGGTCTGTCCTGAGGGCCTTAAGAACCACTGATGTGTGTACCTGGGTTTGAGTTGTGGCCCAGAGGTGAGTATCGACTGTAGTGTGGAGGGGGGTGTGTGCAGCTGTGGGTCCATGTGCAAGCAGTGAAAGTTCTAGAATATGATGGAGCTGGGGGTGGGAAGAGAAAGGGGCTGGGGGCAACTCTCTCACTACACTACTTCTTGCCAAAACTCAGGTCAAACTACCAGGAGTCTAATGTGAATCTGCCTTCAAGGTTGCTACAAAGGTTTCATTGTCAAGGTAGGAGACATTTATACTGTATTGCAGTTTGTTGACTTGGTGTATGACCTGAATATTTAGACATATGGTATGTGGGTCTCCATTTGTACTTCTGCCTTTGCCCCTCAAATGTTTTGGGTTGACTGCCAAAGCCAAAGGGAGGAGCTGGGGAACTAGAGTGGTTTTACTCATATAATTTTACACAACTGCCATTCTCTAGCTGCACTTTGCAAATCTAGACAAGCTAAAATACAAGCCCTGTATTTTTATCACAGGGATACTAGCCAATATACTGAAAACAAAAACGGGGCTGGTCTACCTTGTTCCATTTTTTGCCACCTCTCTCTTCCCAATTTATGAAGAGAAGCAGCAGCATATTCTTTGGTCCTCCGAGGGACATGGGGAGCCCAGGCTGGGAATCTGAAAGGTGGTAAGTCGCTTATCAAAAACTAGAGTTTGTGGAGAAAACAAAAACAGCCAGTTATTTAGAGGACTGGATACCTTCCCTCTTTCCCACGTGTTTGTAAGCAAAGAAATACAAAATGACTAGGGTCCTCAGGGGTTTCAGCCTCGAGCTCTCCCTCCCACCCCCCAATCCCTCCGGCTGAGTAAACTAACAAAGGCAGGGGAAAAGGAAAAAAACAAAAAACAAAAAAACGCCGAAAGCACGAGTTTAGAGAAAGCAAATTCCGCTGGTGGCTTTGGCTGCTGGGAACGTGAACTGAGAGTCTCGGGCGCAGCCCCAGGCTAGCACTTCAGCGCGTCTTGGGCTGGCAGGTCCCGGCGCGGGCAGGGGACGCGGACGGCCGACCCCGAGACGCAGGCTGCACCCCCACCCAGCCCAGGCCGGGCGGCGAGCGGGCGAACGTCGCCCGTTTAAGGGGCGGGCCGCGGCTCCACGTGCTTGCTGCTGAGTGACTGAACTACATAAACAGAGGCTGTGAAGGGGCGGAGGAGGAGGAGGGAGAGAACAGGCTTTGACCGATAGTAACCCCTGCGCTCAGTGCAGCCGAATCTATAAAAGGAACTAGTCTAGGCAAAAACCCGTAATTCCGTGGGAGAGTGAGTGGGGCCGGGACCCGCCGAGCCGAGCCGACATCTCTCTCCCTGGGAGCGGGTGGGCAGAGCAGAGGGTGCCCCACGCCACCAGGGTTAATTTCTCGGGGCGCTTTGCTCCCTGGTTTTTTTTTTTTTTTTTTTTTCCCCTTTTCCCTTTTCTTTTTCTCCCCTTCACCGGAAGGGTTTGCCTAGGGGTGGGGGAGAGACGCAAACACAAAAGCAGAAAACAGGTAAGAGGCTCTCCAGTGACTTACTTGGGTGTCATTGTTTTGTTTTGGGGGCCGAGGCTTTGGGAAGTGCTCGGTTTGGGGGCTGATCCGGACCCCCACGTCCCCGCCTTTTGCAGCGCTCATGGGGCGGGGGTGGCGTAAGTGGAGAGACAAGCTTGTCCCAGGACCAGCTCCAGGACCCCCGGGAAGCAGCGCTGCTGTGCTCGGGGCTCGCCCGGCGGCGGAGCCCGGGGAGCATCTCTGGGCGTGGAGCCCCGGGCGCAGTACCTTGGGCGCAGGGGTTCGGGTGATCCGGGGCGTGCTGAGGGCGCTGCCGCGGGTGGGAGAGTGGCAGGTCCGGCAAGGAGCGCGCCTCTTTGTTCGTGAGCGCCTGAGCAGGCTGGAAGCCCCTCCGGTTGCGGGTCGGCCGGCGCCCACCGGGACAAGTGCCAGCTGAGTCTCCTCTCCGTTCTTAGGAAGCTGGTCTGAATTGGGCTCTGACCTGGTGGTGATCCGCTCCATGCGCCCCGGGACTGGAGCGGCGCGTCCTTTCCCCCCAGGAACTCAAGCAGGAGGTGTCCCCAACGGGGTCTGTTGTGCTATTGCACATAAGAGGCCTCGGGGCTTTGTTTGACCTGGGGGTCCTGCCTACTGTCTCTGCGCGCTCACTAGAGCTGGTGTCCCTGGCGCAGCGCGGGGGACGAGTTTTGTTTCATTTAAAACAGAAGACTTAGGAGAGTCTGCGGAAACCCGGAGCTGGGAGCCCATTCTTACCTCCCCTCTCCCCGCCTCATCTTCCTGCCCTTTGCTGCTCGTCTCTTGGGGCAGTTTCTGGCCGGGCATGGATGGGGAAGCTGGGGCGAGGTGGTGCAGCAGAATGACCGCGAGTAACCCCGGCGGGCGGCGCAGAACTCGGAGCTCCGCGGCAAGGCTGGGCGTGAGGGGTGGGGTGGGGTGGGGTGGGGTGGGGTGGGGTGGGGGGGCTGGGCGCGGGCTGCGGGCGGCCCCCGGAGACTGGGCCGCAGCGCCTCTTGGCCGGGGGACCTAGGAATCGGCCAGTGGCGGGAGTGGGGCTGGGCTCTCGGGGTTCGGACTGGGAATCCAGTGAAGACCGGTGGTTGCAGACAGGAGGGAACCCGGGGTGGGGGATAGGGGTGGGTTCAGGCATAAACTCGACTGGGTTTTTTGTTTGTTGTTATGTTTTTGGTTAAAGTGTTAACCGACTCCCAGGTCACTGCTAAATCAGAGAAAGCTCTTGGAGTGTCTGCCAGTGCCAGGGATTTGTGTAGGTGCCGCCACACCCCCAGCATTTATCAGAAAGATTAAAAATAAAGAGAGGAAGGAAGAAGGGAAGAGAAATAAAGCAAAAAGGAAGGAAAGAAGGAGAAAGAAAGAAAAGTGTCGGTACTAGAAGTAATTGGCCTTTGTCTTTTGCAGCGTCGATACCAATAGCTTTTATTTTTTATTTTATTTTATTTTACATGTGCAGGTTTGTTACATGGGTATATTTCGTGACTGATACCAGCAGCTTTTAAAACGCAAGACGATTCAGTGACATCTCAAGAAGGGAGTGGGTGGTATATACATTTATGTAATACATTTATGTGATTTTTAAAAAAAACTTCCTTGGTGTTGAAAATCAGCAAGTCATTTTCCCTCTATGGCCCAATTCCCACCTCTCACCAAGAGCACCTGGCCAAAGTTCCCCCTCAAGTTCAAGAGTAGAGTTTTACTGATTCTTTTGTAACAGTGGTTGGAACCCAGACCTAATTTTTGATCTTTTCAAACAAAACTTAGATAGTAATTTGAAAAGTACTTAATTTCTCATCCCCCCTTTTATTTCAGTGTATTTTTCTCCTATCTACCACAAAAATAATGCAGGCTTTCAGGTGTTCATATCATTCTCTTGAGAAACTTCTTCTAAATCAAAGAAAGTGTGGAAGCATACAGAATATTTCTGAGTAAAACCTCTACAGACAGTGTAATAATTTTCAAGTACAAAATTTCCATTGTCAGTCTGTTTCCTAAATGCTACCATAAGCCACTAAAAGTAATTCATGATAGTGGATTTTGAGTAAACATTGATTACACACAACAAATCAGCATCTACTTGAGAACAAGCAATAGTATCACAGGGATTAGGGAAGAGGGTCTCCAGCCTTCATGATGGCCACAGTCCATTTAAGGAACAAGAACTGCTACTGTAGCCAGAGTAATTCATGAGTCCCTATTCCAGTACCTACATACCATATGTCTAAATATTCCATAATGACATATCTGACTGTGACCTGGACACATGTGATATGTTGTCTCCTCTGTAGATGAGCTTTTGAAATCTCAACCCTTATAAGTATTTCTATTGACATCTAAATGCAGGCCTATAATGGGGCCCTGGACACATTTTTGACTTAGAATGTATTTACAGTTCCAGTGAGACAATGCATTTGTCTATAATTGGAAAAGAGTGATTACGGCTTGGTTGTTTTCAACCTCTGCTCAGGGAAGTTCCAGTGCAAACATTATTAAAAATGAATGAAACTGGCTGAAACTTAGCAATCAGCTTATTAAAATCTTCTGTAGTACTTACCTTTTATGGGGAGGAGTTGAAATATTTTCCATTTAATTTTTTTTTGTTTTAGCAATCTTCTCTTCATAAACCAGGATGCTTAGGCTATATTTGTAGTTACTGCAAATTAATATCTTTACTATTTTTAATTTTCAGCTCCTAGAATAGTTAAATGAATATTGCCTTAGACTCTTTTAAGTTATGAACCTTTTGGATATCTAGAAAATATATGTGGTTTTGCATTTCTAAAATACCCTTAAATCCAAATACATCTTTATTTCCTATCAAAATACTGAAAAAATAATACAATTATAATGCTTCTTATGGTCATATACTCCACCATCAGATTTTAAAAGATGATTCTGAACATTTGTTTTATTTAACTATACTGGGAGAGGGCTTACTCTAAAAACTGAGGCCATCTTCATTTCTGCATATGGAAATAACCATGAATGGCCAAAGTTATTGCAGTGTTTAATAGACATTGATATAGCACTATGTGCCGAGTACTGTTCTAAGTGCTTTTCAAATACTAATTTAACCTTCACAACAAACCCATGTATTATTTCTGTTTTACAGATTAAGAAACTGAAAGACTAATTCATTTGTCCCTGGTCATACACCTTGCAAGTGGCAGAGCTAGGGTTTGAACCCAGCTAGTAAGCTCCAGAGTTATTTAACTCGCACACTTAACTGTGAGGTGGTATATGTCAGCTGCTGCAAGCAGGGAACTTTTCAAGGATGTTCACTATGTTTTCTACATTCAGCTGCAACTGTCTTTACTGGAATCTACACTATGTATCATGTTTTCCTGGTAGCTGTGAGTGGGCTAGCCAAATTCTCTTCAATTTATTGAGATCTTGGTTGCATAGGGATTGTAACGCCACAGAAAGAACAGACAATAGGATTTACTCAATTCTAATTTTTTTAAGCTTAGTTTAAAGTGAAAACTATACTATTGCTACAGTCACATGTTTGTGACTAGATCTGTGGTCTCAAAATGTTTTCCTATGTGATCTATAGAAAATGGAATGATAGAATATTTGACTATAAAAGCAGAAAGAACAAAATGAAAAGAGAAGAGAGCTGCTAGTTTATCTGTAAAATTCTAACATTAGTCAATTTTTTTTATTGGTTACAATATAATAGATTCTTGCTTGTTCTATTCCTAATTATGTTGAAGACCTTTTGAAATAAGCTATTTCGTTGACTCTGCTGTTACTGTCTAGAAATAAAATTTAGATTTTCATAAGGTATATTTCTTGGAATTTAAGTACAGTATCAAAGTCTGCCTTCTAAACATGAAATAGGAAGAGAAGCTGCTTTTCTTAATTGGTGTAGGAAATTAGAAATAAGCTCTTAGAAAAATCCTCTTGGTAAAAATTTATATCTACTGTTGATTTATGAAATGCTGGACATGGTTTTAAGTGTTTTAGATGTAATAACTCAGTTCATTCTCATGAGAACCATATAAGATGGATGTTGTTGTTATCTTTATGGATGGGAAAACTGAGGCAGATGGAGTTTGTTAGTAGTGGAGCTGAAGTTGCACCCCAGGCAGTGTGGCTTCTCTCAGTTTACCCATCTTAGCATAAAGACTTTGTGAAAATATCAAAGTTTGTGACATTTTGACAAATGAAATACTAATAAAAGGCAAAAAGTGGTTTTTTTATATTTGAGTATTTTGACCTGAAAATAGTTCCCTGAATAAGTAGCCTGCATTGATATTACTAGAGAGGTATGTTTTAGGAAAAAATGAAGCCAGAGAATGAAAATCTTAGGTAAAATTGCTTTCAAGGGGTCCTTCAGTTCCTCTGCATTCTGTTGAGACCATAATCTGTGTAAGAGCACATAACATTTATTCTGACAATAGAGAATAACAGATTATTAGGATTTGGTTCCTAAAACAAAGTAAAGTTTAAAATATTGTCTCTTTGATGTTGAAAGAAAACTTTGGTACAGAACCCTTTAGCTTTTGCAAACATACTTTAAGACCTGATTTAAATGCTACCCTCCTCATGATGCTCTCCTGGATCCACTCCTCCCTCCCATCACTGAGTTAAAAATAACGATCTCCTTCTTTTTACTCCTATAAGACTTGGATTATAGCACTCTTCATGTCATGTATTTAATTTTTTTTGTTATAGTTAACATTTATTTGACTTCCTCTTGAGTATATGCTTTTCTAGAGGAACATCTTTGATTCATTCTCCCCAGGCTTTAATTTACCTCCTTAGTATGGAAGGAGTTTAATAACTGCTAATTTGAACAAGTCCCAAAAAGAGAATGAGAACCTCATATTTGCTTCCTGTCTTTTAAGACTACTTAAGATGACAAGGATAATCACAAAAAAGCATTAGCAATAGATTATATGAGAGATAGTTGTAGTTAAGGCTAGGTTTATGCTAGATTGAGAAATTTTAGTACATACTTAAATCATTTAGGGCAGAATACT